GTTCTCTCGTAGGACTGCTTAAAGCAAGCCTTAATTCTGCACCGGTTCTGTTTGAGGCTTCGTCCATGTACAAGAGCCACTCCTGTCGGTCGCTTTGACCTTCTTCACCCAATCTCTCCTGCTTTGAGAAGTTTGCTAGAAAGACTGTGCTTTAATAGTCACCCGAGGAACATAAGGGATACCAAACTTACTCAGTTCCACTGCTCACTTGAGTAGTCGGTCGGAATGCTTTGGTCGGGAAAGCACCGACTTAAGCGGGTGATCTGAAATTACCCAAATAGGATGCGTCTGGAAGTACGGTCACAACCTACGAGCCGACACAATTAAAATAAATGTTAGCTTTTCCATAATTGGATACCTGACCTCCACCACTAAGAAAATGCAGCTGAAGTAATAGAACAGGAATTGCCTTTTCGATTCCTCCTTGACCAGCACAGTGTTGATTGTTTCAGCTTCCACTCCTAAGTACATTGAGAGTTCTTCATCCGGCTTTGGACTTTGGAGGAGAGGTAGTGAAATTAGGAAATCCATGAGGCTTTGGAAAGATTGTTGACATTCATCTGCTCATCTGAAACTCTCGGCTTTTCTGAGGGTCTTGAAGAATGCTGCGCACTTGTTACCAACCTTGAGATGAAACTTGCTGAGAGCTGTACTATGATCGGTTAGCTTTTGAACTGCTCGGGTATTTTTTGGAGGCGACATCAATTAGTGCCTAAATTTTATCCGGGTTTGCTTTTACGCCCTCAGGGGTTAGGAGGTAACCTAGGAACTTGCCGGTTGAGGCCCTAAACATATATTTTAGAGAGTTCAATTTCATATGATATTTTCTTAAACTTTGGAAAGTTTCTTTTAAATCTTTAACGTGTTGCTCTGTCGTCTGACTTTTCACAAAGATATCAACAAAGTAGACCTCAATATTTTTCCCTTTCTAATTGGTAAAGATTACATCCAATAAATGTTGGTATGTTTCCCCAACATGTTTGGTCGGCCAGATTGTAGGGTTCACGGTCAGCTGGTGACAAACGACATCAATTGGTATCCTTGACATCTCCGCAGCAGACCAAGCAAAGACATCATGGTGGTCCCAATGTGTTTGAATCAACAACTCCTTGTGTTTCACATCGAAATTATCACTTATCAGGAAAGATTTACTGGACTCATCTTTGGCGACGAGAATCTTTAGGGTTTTCTCATTGGGGTCTCGAGGCCCCCTTCCGATTCTGCAGGTCAAGCGGCTCCTGTTCCGCGCTTCCTACTGCTCGGGGGTAGCAAATCCGTGATTGCTCCAAGTTTCCTTTGACAGTGATTTCCTCCCCGTCTCCTGAGAATTTGACTGCAACGTGGTAGGCGTACACCACGGCCTTGAAGCGATTCAGCAATGGGCGGCCGAAGATGACGTTGTAGGTAGGAGGCAAGTCCACTATTAGAAAGTCCTGTCTCTGTAAACTGTTTCTCTCTTTCTTCCCAGGCGACCGTTAGTGGCATCACGCTCAATGCCTCCTTCCTCTCACCTGAAAAGCCAAACAGTGGGTCGGCCGGTGTTATCAGTCGGTCGGTTCGAAGGTTAAATTTATCAAACACTGACTTGAACAATATCTTCACGGAGCTACCAATGTCAATAAGCAGACTTCTGACCTGGAAGTTACTTATTATCTATGTTACAACTATAGCCTAATTGTAGGGGTTTTCCGGCTGGGACAGGTCGTCGTTCGTGAACGTGATGAGTAGGGCTGTCAAAAAAGCTCGTTGTTCGCGAACAGTTCGTGTTCAGTTCGTCAATGAGTTCGTGTTCGATTCGTTCGATAAGTAAACGAGACAAACACGAACAAATTTTTTTCGTTCGGTTAGTTAAACGAACCAAACA